TTCAAAATGTTGCTGCAGGACTACCAGCCACTTTATGACCCCTTGACCCTTCCTAACGAGAAACTCGACGTGGTTGATCAATTCACTTATCTTGACAGCTGCATCAGCAACGATAGGCGCATAGAATCTGACATCAGCTTACGCATTGCAAAGGCCAGAGCTGTCTTCTTGAACCTGCGGCATCTTTGGCGACAGAAAGGAATTTCCCTCCGTCTGAAAGGCCGTGTATACAAGGCCACAGTGAGTGCCGTTCTGCTCTATGGTAGTGAAACTTGGCCCCCTTCGGTCTGAAGATCTGGGGCGCCTTCAAGTCTTTGATCATCGTTTTCTGCGAAGCATTGCTGGTGTCGGATGGCACCAACGTGTCCGCAACGATGATGTGCTTAGGCGAGTACTAGGTGGTGATAATCATGCTAACACCCTAGAACAACAGATAGCACTGAATCAGTTGCGTTGGCTCGGGCACGTGCTACGCATGCCTGGTCACCGCTTACCTAGGAGGGCCTTGTTCAGTCTACCAGGTGTAGGATGGCGCAAGGCTCGAGGTGGACAGAAGTTGCCTTGGCAGCGGGAAATGAAGTCACTGACAACCAAACTGGGTGCCGTTGGTCCGTCTCGCCTTCCGGGTTGGAGTCCACGTGACTCACCTTGTGCTTGGCTCGAGACTTTACAGGACATGGCTCGCAACCGACACCAGTGGCGCGTCTGTTGCCGTCTTCTAATCGGATTGTCTGTTTATAGTTTGTTTGGTGCTGAGTTATCTGCGGGGTACTGGCTGATTATGACGCGTGGCAGTGAAAGCCGCAAGGAAGCTGTCTCGCCGATGATGCCTTATCTTTGCACGATATCCATCTGTTTTTGCGGCCGTATGTTGTCTACACGAGGTGTAGGCGCTTTGACCCTGAATGTTTGCTTAGGGCATTAAGCTTTTCTGATATGTCCCCTTTCGCTCCCTCCTATTATTCTTCATTCCATAGGTCTTTATGGTTGTACGGCAGCGAAGCATCTGTTCCAGTAGCTGTGTACTTCTGTCGATGGTGATGTTGTAGATGCCTAATCGACAGGGAAGAAGCGAATTGCGAGGGGAGAGAAGGACAGGAAGGAGGGAATATTGTCTACGGGGTCGAGAGTAGATGATATTTTTCGGCTGCTCTTTCCTAGAGAGGGTTTTGTTCGGGTTGCTCTACCTCTAGCCTTTGACCCAACTGTCTGACTCACAAAGTAGCATGGTACATGGACGTTTACTTTGGGAAAAAAGTGTAACTCAGGAATATCATTGTAGAGATTCATTGGGTTTGGCTTGAGGTCTGTCACATGCAGCTTTTGTAGCTATATAACAATTTTCATATTTTTCGATTGTGTGATCTTACACACTTACGGCCACGGCCAGCTGTAAATGGGATTTGTCAGGTTTGTACCAATCTGACTAGGGATTGTATCGCTTGTGGCGCTCGTGGTATGAGGTTATAGAGACTTTACTTGTCTTCTCAAAACTGATCAAGTTACTCTCACAGTGTACATCACTGTTAGTCCACAGGCCACATGTTCGCGCAGTCTTTGTTGATTACTCTGCTGTTGCGTCACAGGCAACTCGTTCGCATTGGCGCTCATTTTCATCTGTGCTTCATGCTGGTCGTACAGTGCTATGCAAGCGAAGTTGTAGAACCGATTTCCGTTTTCACTGAGCCAGTGAGAGTGTTCCCATCGAAGGTCAGTCTTCTAGTGACTCAACCCAGTGGTAGTGTTTCGCGTTTCCTCTCTTGCTTGGAGTTACTTCGTGAACAGTTTTCTCCTTCATAGTCTAATCAGTGTTAAGCACTCGCAGTGCCTATTTCTATTGGCATTTCGTTCGCTTACTCTGCACATTTGGGGAACATTACGAAACAACCGGTCGGTTTGCTCGAATAGGCGCGGGATAGCAGATTACAGGTACTATTCGGCTTCATCCACTATCTATGGGTCTAGGTTGATTGAGTCTAGGCCTCTGATATCTGGTACTGGCTTTGAAGAGCTACACAGTGTCTACCGATGCGTCCAGTGAGATAACAGTTACACAGCTAACCAAATTGACGGACCAACTCGACTGATCGATCTCTTATCATGAGAACTGGTGGCGCTGTAGCCTAGTTCTGCAATCGTGCCTTGCACTTCGAATTCGCGGATCATACGCCAAAGTTTGCAGCATCCTGTGCCCGACATGTTCATTCGTGCCATACCGGTCAGTCATTAATCCAGTAGCGCCTTCACTCCTAAATGGATGAATAGGATGGAGTCATTCGTGAACATTACGATCACGATCTGTGTAAAAAGGGGATAACCAACCCTGACAACCCGGTTGTCGTAGTGAGCTCGGAGTTGACCTTTCAATCATTTTACTCTTCAAGGTCGGTGGTGATGTAGCGGTTCCAAAGTGCAACTCGATTGCTCCGGCACATTCTCTAAAACCTTAGGTATCGTCCCTTGGCATCAAAAAGGTATCAGCAATACGCCGGTGCGCAGTACCGACGCTTCGCTGCCGCGTAAACACCACCAGTCGCACGTGGGCTAAGAATACTGCATGGTTCGCCCGGTCCCTACGCAGGCTCGGATTACAAGACATGCTTGCTACCCTTAATGCTACGGGCCGGTATCGCCCCTTGACATGGTTGGTTCGCTTGTTTCCCCTCGGATGCTTGGAAAATCCTGCTTTGTGTTACTGCCCCACATCCGTCGCCAACCAACTGCTTTTCTATACTTCGTTCCTTCCTGTTCGATGATGACGATCCAATCTCTTTGATGAGCCGCCACCTTTTGGTTACGAGTTGTGCAATGAGCTGATCATTGCTCTCTCTACTACATCGCTGCTAGTCAGTTCGTGTTGGTAATTTGACTATGATCCATGAACCGAAGCGCAACGGACACAGCTACCTTGACTCAATTCACCAATGTTACTTGCAAAATTAAATGGCAATAATTCAAGAGAATTGGACGAAAGAAAATATGCATTGACACGTGATATGATCAAGCATATAAACCGACCGAACGGACACGAAACGTCGCCGTCCTCGTGACTACATCCTCCTGATAGAATATCTACTCGCTGGTGTGGCCGACTTCAATACGACCGGACGGATTATCGGTTTTAATTGATTTCACCCTCATCTATCCAGTCTATGAATTGCTGTCATTGTTAACATCTCATTCGTGGGATCATTTACCTTGATCTTCGCGATGCATGGTTTTATCCTAGCTGCCGACGCATCCGCCAAATGGTTTTTTCTATTGGAATCTTAGAGATGTTTGCGATCCGTTCCGCGAAGCACGTTCTGCCTCATCAAATTGCTTCAATTGTCTACCAAGTAATAAACTGGACCCACTCATGCTTCCAGCGCGGGCATTTTTGATTTTCTTGCAATGCGTCTGGCACATAAGGCTTGAACTGCATACTCCTTCGTTCCACCTTCATCTCGCCGTCGTCGGACCAGCTGTGGTTCGTCCATTCTGCTTACCATTAGGTACCGTTGTCATTGTGTGGACAATCTTTGCCTCTATTCTCGTTGGGATTTTGAAGCCCTGATTCGATGACGGGTTATCGCGCGACTTATATATAAATATATATGTTTTAATATATACATATATATATAATTGTGAGATCTATGGTCTAATCTGGCCTGCTGTCCTTTTTCCGAATTTGCAGTGGGTTCCGATTATCATTCCTAACCAAATTATCATGTAGCACACTAATTTTCCTCACTCGCTTCCCGGCTTACTCAACAAGGAAGGTTGCCGCAAGTCGTGTCTGGGTGTTCACATTGATCATATTCACCGGGGTATTCCACTTTTTGAGCATATCTGTGCACAGCTCTTGTTGGGCTCTAGTGGTTCCACCATGACGATACTTGACGCGACGACGTACGTTATGTCTTTCATCTATTGTGTACGCTTGGTTGTTGCGTGATAATGTCAGACGATGTCCCGGATTGGACACTGGATGTCGCTCTCTTTTGATGGGTTCACGAAAGCACGAATTCGATCACGTAGTCCAGAGTCGGGATTGATCAACACCACTTGTCTCCAGTGGACGGCATTGTTTCATCTTCGATGAACGGGTTGTGTTTCGACATCTGTAGTTTACATGGTAAAGCGTTCTATGCTTTGAAACGTCTTACCTGTCTAAGTTGCACTTCAGTTTCATGATTCGTTAGCTTCTAATGGCATGGTTTGCAGTTATATCGAGCTGCATGTGCCACTGAGTTTCTTTCATACGCAGCAATCAACTAGTTCAAAGAAGCGGTCAAAGGTCAACTTGAATGAGATCTACTCACGGCCATGGGCCCGCACGAATTTCTGATTGCAATTACCTCAGCCAGGGCTAAGGGGCACTTTTTTGAACCTCTTTGGGTGTGGCTTCGATACGACCCTGAGCAGTCCATTCGACTTTTTGATCCGACTTTGGTATCTGTTGTGATGCAAGTGTTCACAAATATCTACTCTTTCTGTATAGTGCCCTCACGTTGAGGAGCATAGGGGTAGGGCAGTACTTTCTCCAACCGCTACAAAAGTCACGTAGTATATATCCGGGGCATTCTGCAACGCAAAAGCAACTGAATTGAGTACTACATGAACAATTCATCCTTAGTCCGAAGCTTTGTCCTTTAGGTGTTTGATTAGTTATCCAGGCCGCAGCTTCCGCTTTCTATCGACTTCTTCTCGGTGACTTTTGCCCGTTTTCATCCTTCCCACCTTTCCATTGTTTTCTTTTATGATTGCTACGGCCCGTGATTAGTAGAGTAGATCCATGCTTGTAGTCTAACTCAGGCTGATCTCAATCAGCACTACTTGGCAGATTAATTTATTCCGTCATCCCATTATCACGTGTTGTCAGCAGTCATGCAGTCTCGTCCTCCGTTTTCCTTTCTAGATCGCTCGCTTATCCGCGTTTGTTTTTTTAATCCAACTCTGGTTGTTGCACCTTGTAAATTTCATCTCTTTCCTAATGTGTTTACCACTCTGCCTCATAGCCGTGTATGCATGTAACCGGCCAACGGGGCAATCAGGCTACTCTACCGCGGCACCTGCACGAGCCAGCAACGCCAGTCCATCTCAAATGACCGATCGATGCAACGTGAATAACAATGCTTGCCTCTCTGCTGGCCCTGTGTCCCACGGGTTTTCCGGCTCCACGCCTAGCTCACCGGGTTCTGCGAGCCAGCCTTCATCCCTGCGCGGTTCACCGGCTCATTCGAAACCACGGAGAAGTGTCCCGGATCGCCCAATTCCGCGCGAATGCTCGTCACCTGCACTCTCCAAGGTGCGCGCATCACCAGAACCCGTCCGACCCGCGACTCCACAATCGCCCAAGGTTGCGGATGCACAGTCAACTTCGGGTAAGCGGTGCTTCTTTCAGCGAAGTACCTTGTTACTTTCCGTCCGTTTCTCTCTCTTACTTTCATTACATGGTCATTAAAGTGATACCATCCTAGCTTCTTTGTTTCCGTCCTCATCCTCTGCACGAATTCACCATGTTGATAGGCACATAACCACGATGGATCGCTTCTCTCACTGCCTTCACTGTTTTTGTTCACAATCACCCTTGTCGCACAACCGCCATTTGCCTAATATCTCTGATGCTCCACAGTTCAGTCGGTCAAGTAAGTGTGTGCAGCACCTATTTTAGGCTCCCGTCAAAAATCGTTCATCTTGTCATCCATTTACCAGACTACAACAGCCCGCCACTCTCCAGTGCAATCCGTCGTCATATTCCTTGGTTCCACCCCATATTTCGTTGTCACCTTACTCTTCCCCATGCCATAATCGCCCAGTGGCCGAAGGGATTACACGCTTGTCTTGTAATCTGAAGATCACTGTTTCGAATCCGCGTAGGTTCGGGCGACCTGGCGGTATACTCAGCCCACGCGCAAATGTTAGTGACCGCCTGGCAGCGAAGCGTCGGTACCATCTGCCGACGTACTGCTAATGCCTGACCTTTCTTCATACCAGGTACGCTATTACTTGCGGCAGTGCAGCGACTTCTTTGCCTCCTGAGCACTGCATCAGCTGTTCGTTGCTGGTTATGTTCTGCATGGCCATTTCGTTAGATGAAACAACTCAATCCACCTTGCCTGCGGAAGCGCTGAGTATATGGTAGTTCAAGACATTAAGTTATTTGGGTGGGTTTTGCCATAATTTTGCTCTTTCCTTCTTTTATTAATCTCGCCGGCCCTTAGCCTTAAGGATCACAAACCTGCCTTGTAATCCGGGGACGGGTTCGAGCCTGCTTGGGGACCGGGCGACCCTCACATTATCGTTAGCCCACGTGCGACTGGTGGTGGTTGCACGGCAGCGAAGCGTCGGTACTGCGTACCGGCGCACTGCTGATGCCTACTTTCACCTTTATTTATCTCAGAAGCCAACTCAGACCGTTTTGTATAAGCCTTCTTCTGGTATGCTTTCCTCGCTCTATTGCCCAGGTTCCACATTGTTTACTTCCGGTTTTTCGCTCACTGTAGTCGTAATAACCTGCCACTGCGCTCGTCCATCTGTTACTCTCTTGTTCGCTTATCACTGCACCGGAGTACCCTCGGGCTGTGATGCGTTGATCAGCATTTGGAGTTGTCTGTGCTCTGTCTTCTATTTGGCTAGGTTGGATTGCCAAGACCTACTCGACAGATTAGATTTCGCGTGCATTCACTGCCGTCACGACGATCCATAGTCCCGTTGATTCATAAAACGTGAATGTAAGTCGTAAATATTTGTTTTTCTGCGATTCAGAGGGCCTTACAGCATTCTCTCCGCGCTACGCGATGCATATTTTCTCAACATTTGTCTGGTTCTGTGTCCACGGCAGAGTGTTTTCAGTGGCGCTGCATCCGCTTCATAACAGTCGGTGGGAAAACTATCGTTCCGCTTTTGTGTTTCCTCTCTTGCCAATTTCCCCATTCAAACCATTCCATTAGGTTTTTCACTTCCACTCCCCTTGACTCTCCCTTTTGCAGACAGATTCTCTTCGCATATCAAGTGCAGTGTAAGCCCTTGGTATCTGCAGCGGTGTCCGACCTTGACCCTCGTTCTCACCTGTCCTTATTCTACGCTTGCCTTTTCAACTACATACGTGCTAATAGTATCGCCTTGGTTCGCAGCGTATCAGAAAGCTTTGATTATTTCTGCACCCTTCTTGCCATGTGTGATCTTTTTACACTATAGACCTCTCCAACCAATGTTATTTAGACGTTCGATACTCGCCGAACACACACAAGCAGACCTATTGACTATGCGGCTGCTTTAGCGTCTGTGCCCCCTCCCCAAACTGAAGCGGCAAGCGAAGACCAGCGCGCATACTCCATCTTCCGTCATATTTATGGCCGATGTGCCTTCAGTCTGGGTTATTCATTCCACTCTACTCTTACTTTGTTATGTTTTGTCTCTCTGATCGATGAGCCAGCAGAGAGTGATCATATTTCTCTACTGAACTCTCCTTAATTTTGCGCGTGATGGAAACACAAAACATACCGATTTGTTCATAACGCGCTGAAAGCCTTTGTCTGTCATTGAACAACGAGTAGCCCAACTGGCTAAGCTGTGTACTACAGCACACATTTGCTCCCCTATTCCCACGCTGGTTGTTGTTTATGCAAGCACGCGCAAGACACATTCGTGAAAAATGAAACTTCCCATCAGCGATACCATCGGAGCTTTTAGGCTGTGGCACTATTGTTGCAGAATTCGTCTGACTGTAAACTCCTTCCGGTACAGGGCATATTCGTTGTGACCAGTCTTGCCCTCTCCTCTCACTGGTTTGTTCGTCACTTTCCTTTCCAAAAGGATAGTGATATTGTAGCCCAGTGCTTTCCCTTTGGCACCTTGTTTGTGGTCACATTGTGTGACTGTTTGACCCGTGCTCCGGACCTACGTTAGATCAGTTCTTAATCCTTATCGCTAAAGGTATCCATTTAGATGGAGTGTTGTATAGCCGCTGAGGCTGATGTTGCATTCTTGATGCTTCTTCACCACAGTTGGGCTAAACCAACTTACACTTAAACTAGGTCTTTTTAAGCTGGATAAATTTCATTCCGCTTTATTTGGTTTGTTCTGCCTCCCTGAATAATGTTCTATTAACTGGCCACGTTGCTTACACTAATTGCGCTTATCTTCGGTAATTTTGTTGCGTTTGTAGCATTTTAAGTAACTTGTGGACATTTCTTACTTATCACGGATTTGTTGCTAACCAAATTACTTCATATGGTAATTTAGCGAAGAGTTATGCCACCGTATCTGTATGCATTATTGGATTTATTTTATTTCAGCTTATCGTTTAAAGTGAATGGCTGTTGTTTGATATCCCTGGTATGGTTGCGCTTGATGTGTATGTTGACAAGGTGCCTACCTGTCTATTACCCACTACATCGTTCATACTGGCTCCAGGAGACAGTTGTTCGTTGCTGGAGGGGACGGGGTGCACGGTTCTTGTGGCCGTGCTAGGCTCAAAGAGCGGTTCCATGCACTCAGTGTGGAGCGGACTACGGTCCAGCCACCGCCTTGTGTGCGCTTGATTCCCCAAATACAGCGTGCTTGTGTTTGCCTGTGAAGGAGTGTGGGCCGGCTCCGTTGATGAAACGTGGTTCCCATCCGCATGCCTGCCGGTCTTATTCCTTCGGGTTTACACTGGATATGGGGTATGTGGTTGGAGCTGTGGGTGGTGCAGCGCAAGCCATCCATGGTCCCTCTGTAGGCGCAGGCGTCCTGTGTCTGGCCACAGTGACAGGCAAATCCGAAACCGGATGCCGCCAACCATGTATAGCCGCGAAACACCAGTATGGAACAATGATGTACAGCCAATATTATTACCATTATTGCTCCTTTATCGGTCGTTTCGCTCTGGCACTACGGATGGCGTCTATTCACCAGTCCTATCCGCTTGGTCACTGACTAGACCTTCATTTTCCCTTTATGCTGCGACTCGTTTTCCATCTTATTGGTGATGTCTTTTGCTGGTGTTTTTACAAAACACTTCTTCACTAATCCATTTATTGCTACACAGCGCCTGTTTCGCTCTACGACTTCCTGCGTACACACACACTCATTCATCTGGTAAATTCAAAGAAGTGTGTGAGCAATTCTTCGTCCCATTTTATCAACTCAGACAGGAGCACAGGAGGAGTGTTGACTCTCAGTGGGAATCAATTTGGAATGGTTCAGAATTTCCTCTACCTAGAGAGCTGTATCAGCATCCGTGGAATAGAAGATGAGGCTACAAACCTTGTATCCAAACCTCAGGTCATTTGCTAATCGTCACTATTTATGTCGCACTTCTGACATCATCCCCGTCCTGAGGGGTAAGTTTGCAGTACCACCATCCATCCAAAATCATGGTGGAAGCTTGCCGACCAAATCAGCAGATGTTAAAACGCCAAATGCCTTTTACCACCGGTTTCCTCGCAGCTTAGTTCATGTGTGGTGGGAACATCGTGTGAACACCAGGCGCGTTCCGCACCTTGTTTTTGGCACATGAATAGCAATTGAATTACTCAGCATCTCTGTTTCACAGCCCGTGTTCTGATGGCTGGGCTGCATGTTATGCATACCAGTACCACCTACTCCTGCTACGTGCTTTATTGCCCGAAGATGAAGGGAATCTATTCGATGTCTTCATCAAGAGGAATGGGAGTCGTCACTTTGAAATGGACCTCGGTTGGTGCCTCTAAACTTCCCCCATCGCAATGAGACTGTACTTTATCCTGGTACCATGTTCTTTGTGCCTCAATGATTAATTGAGTTGTGTTGGGTGGTCCGACTTGTACCTTCAGTCACTCAGACTAAACTGGTTAATTGTTAGAGGCCAGGCAAACTCAGCCTTGTGGCTCTCCAGATTGAAGCGAGGCTGTCTCCTTATTCCTTAATACGGGCTCCCTGTAGCCCACTTCGAGACTTCCCCTGCCTCGCGGTCAAGTTTTTGGACCGAAAGCCTTGGTTGAAAACCCTAATCGTTCTCCTGTCTAGGCCTGAACAACCTGACATTATCCTGCTTACACAATATAACGACTTTTGAACAATTTCTTGGTACTCTGGCCCTCGCAGCTCATAATAACTGACACCCTATGCTGCATCGTACATGGTAGATAGGGCTGTGAATGCTACTGAAGAAAGGCATCAGCAGTACGCCGGTACGCAGTACGGACGCTGCACTACCGCGCAACCACCACCGGTCGCATGTGGACTAAGGATACTGCGACGGTCACCTTGCTCCTACGCAGGCTCGAACCCGCGCCGTCAGCTTCCAAGACAAGCTCGTTACTTTTAGGTTACTGGCCGTCCGGATGTTACTGCTCAGGTCTTTCCGTCTTCTTATTCCCACACTTGTATTATTCATCATTTTCATCCAGCCCCAACTTCACGTTTAACCCCACTGCTTTCAACTCGCAATTCTTGCCCTCCCCCCCGACTCGCATACAATCGACCTGCCGGCATGTCCAGTCGTGCGGATAACATCCGTTCATCTGCTTTCATTTCGACCCCTCCGTCCTCACTAAGACTAGTATGCCTCAACATGCGCACCTTGTTACAGATTGACTAACAACACGTAGCACGTTTGAATACTAGACACCCTATGGAGATATATCTGCTGTTTATCGGAAACTCGCCTGCGAGACTCGAGCTCTGGGCCTACTCCACAATCTCGTTCATGTGACACTGGCGGGATTTTCCTATTGTGTCCATCGGGATATAATCCAGCCTTAAATACATGTCAAGTCTGTGCAGGCATTACTCTGAGCCCCTGGGCTAAAACTGCTTTGGTAGTTTGGAACCCAGTCAACAGCGGAATGTCCGTTGTCAGATTGGCTAGCTCATTCAAAGCCTCGAAGTTACACGGGAACAGACGGTGTCTGTCTGTTATTGCTGCTTACGTCCACCATAAACTAGCGTTGACTTGGTGAAAAATGATTTCTCTCACCATAGTAACAATCTGCTTCGGCATAAAATAATACGGATGATGTGGTGTTGGTTGCTGATCTAAACGTTCACGTTGGAAAATTGTCCACTGATGAGTTCTATCTGAGCGACCAACACGGTGTGGGCTCCCGTAGTGATAACGGTCAGCGGTTAACATATGTGCGTGAAGATGTTCGTCTATTACACGCAATCACCAACTTCCAGTACAGTGCCCGCAGAAAGGTTACCTGGCTTCCACCAGCCATGGACACAAATGAATCACATCGCCATCGGTTATTATCTGGAGAGGCTGCATCCAAAACTGTCGATCGATTTAGGGCAAAAGCGTGTTGCTCCGACTATGCAGTGGATGTGCCGACCTGAGGATGCGTTTAGTCGGACCTCCGCGACGATGCTGTGAGCGCAGATATCCGCTAACTGGCGAAATCAGATGTTCTGCTTGTCTATCAAAGTATGCTAGTATGTGTGATGAGTAGGTGCTCAGTGAACACAGTTGACGGTCACTGGTCGCATATTCACCGGACCTTGTTAACAGTAGTCATGTTTTCATGAGGTAAACCTGCTTACCACAGTCTCAGGAACTTTTCGATTTTCGATGACAAATTCTGACTGGTGCGAACACAGAGATGATCGCCGAGATGCCGGTATATGTGCATGTTAACTTGAAGAGAGACAGTTAAGCCTGGTGGTTTTATCGTGCGTCGGAAATTGAAACAGATGCCGTCCTTGATAACCATCGGAAGTTATTCCGTCTGATACACGAAACGGGCTACGAGAGACTTGGTGTTAACAAAAACGTATGGACGTTAAGAAACAGCCTATCCATTTTCTGTCGAAGCACTTGGAGCGTTGGATTTAGCACTTTGAAACTAATTTTGTCCAGAACCACATGATTCGCTGCCGGCCAGTAATTACCTTCCTCTATGGGCCGTCCCTCTGGAACCGCTCCCTCGTGCAGATGTTGAAAGTGAGATCGAACTGCTGGAGTCAATTTAGGTCGCAGGACCAGATGAACTCCCTCCTGCCCTCAATAAATCCGGGGGGGGGGGGACTGCTCTTACGATTTGCACCATCTACGCGCGTATTTCGAGCATAGTGTGAGCTTATGGACATTTCCGCTACGCTTCAATATCTCCAGCGATGTGAGAGGGATGCCCACTCTAACATGTAGTTTTTAACCTTCCTGTTGACGAAGTTATAGAAACTAGGTACATTGAACACAATTTACAAAGGCGTGAGCTGCACCCAGGTGAGCGACTTTTTGATTTAGGGTTTGTTGACAATATTGGTCTAATCCGTGACAGCTCACGAACTTGCCAAGCAGCACTGCACAGATTAGCACCGGGTTGTACTTTATACCCTCCAAATGCAAAGCTATACTCTAAGGTTGGTTGAGATCGTCTTCTGCACTGACCCTTGGTGGGGATCAGCTAGAAGTCATTCAGAAATTCAGCTATCTTAGTGACTGTACCAGTGTCTGTAGAATAGAAGATGTGATGACAAACTGTATAGCTAAAGCTCGAGGTTGATTTTACTAGTTTTCGTCACCTGTGACGCTGGCGCTATCACCTGCCCACAAGAGTATAGTCTAGTCCTCCCACAAGTTTCTGAAACTTGGCCCATAAAATCTACTGACTTAAAGGGGCTTGTTACGTTCGACCACCTGTGCCTTCCCAGCTTAGCTGGTAGAGACACTGTGTAAGAAATGAGTGTGTGTTGCTGTCTTGTATTTGGTGCAGGAAAAGTGTGTGAACCACTCAGCACTGTTATTTCACGTACCAGGCTTTGGTGGCTGGGCGACGTGTTACACTTGCTAGCACACCGGCTCCTGCCACGTACATTGCTTGCGCGACCGGGGTGTTAATGGAACGAGCGGGCGCCACGCGCTGACTTGACCAAAAAGAGCGAAGGCTCTCAATTTGAATATGGCCCGAGTTGCTGCTCACCCCCTCCCTCCGACTCTCAGGCTGGGGTCCGAAGGGTGATGAACACGTTTGGTTGAATACTCTTGTTGACAAGACGAACTACCGAAATCAATGATGTTTGTGTTTCGATTTTCTTTACCCCGCCACATCCCACCTAGCCTCCCCCTCCAAACACGATCTCGAGGTCGGTGCATAATATAAGGTGATGATATTTTTGTTTTTTTATTATTCTTGCTGCTATCTTATGGAATTGTATTGCGGCACGATAGCTGGGATTTTGATTAACGATGATGTGGTGGATTACATCAAAGTGCCGCACACTACCGTAACCAAAGTAACCTCGCCTTAAAGGGATATGAAATATTTATTAATACAAGAGTTGTCCGGAAAAAATGTGAAGCAAGAGATGGGTGCTCTATCTGACAATGGCTGGCTTGTTCCAGCTTTGTGCAACGTCTAATAGTTTCGATTAACATCCACTCGTCTGTGAATGCGCTCCGCACACCGCTTTTGTACAGGACGCGATCAACGCCTTCGAAAGCTGTATCCATACCTTCCTGGCGGTGGGCATTTTCGTAGCTCCAGTACATATTTCACTTTTCCTGGGACCTCACCAAGAGTACCATTTCCCTGGGAGAAGTGTCAATAATTCCGTCCCACTTGACCGGCTGCAAGTGCAAGATGAGGCAGGTTGATTTCAGTGATTGTGTTGAACATATTTCCATACATTTCTGAACACTTATCACGTGCTGTCGCGCGAAACTGACCGAGGTAGAACGACGGCCTGGCTTGCGCACTCAGCCTCGAAAATACGATCATAATAGCCCCAGTTGCACCATAATGTACGTGTCCCTTTTCTGAGGTGTGATTTCTTTTGGTTTGAAAATCGCCATTCGCTGTCTGGGCTCTAGCAGACTGCCCTAATTATTGGACGTCCCAGCGACTGAATCAGCCCAATGGTTTGTTGACGCAAGCACGTATCCTGTTTTCCGTCATAGCGCTACGGAAGTTTTTGACAGCTGTAGCGTATTTTGCCATGCAATCACAGATACTGCGTTGCAAGTGGCTTCTCTGAACACTTCTTTTTTATAATCCACTCGAATACAAGCTGTTTGGCCTTTAACCAGCGGTGAAAAATCTCGCTTGTCAGTCTGCCCTCCACCCAGCCTTAGTCTGAACTGACACCCAGAAATCTACCTTATCTCTGCTTCGACAGTTATGACCATACCACTTCCTCACGTATCTTCTTTGGCTAAATTACCCTAACTCTAGTGTTCCCTTCGCAATCAGGCACTAGGACTTTCTTTTGGTGGACTTTCTTGAGTATTCATGAAATCTTTTCTCTGACTTATGGGGATGCTGTCTACTAAGTGAACCCTTTGGGTGTTTCGCCGCTTGCTATGAGCCAATTGCCGGTCTTGCCTCCCTTTCACTTCCCCATTCAATTCCCATCGCAAAGTTTGCCACGTTCTGTTGCGATTTATCAAGTGTAGCAAAACAGAGCTTTCTAACCTTACCTTTTGAACCAGCCGTGCTCTTCATTTCGAATTTCTTCCTGACAACCCCCTCGCATTTCTTCGAGACCATTCGAACATCCATACGTCACATGCTACCGTTCGCTACGCTACGGCTCCTTGGGTTGCGCTTAGTGAAGACCGTGCATTGGAGGCAATGCCATCCACATTGGGCACTCAACCTTGCTGCTCAAGTGCTTCGTCAACTTTTATCGGCTGCTTAACGGCAAAGCTTTGTTAAATCCTTCAGCTCATCCTCATCGTTCTTTGATTCCTTACCTCTTCCCAATTACTCCTGTGACGTATTCCTTGCCGCCTTAATGTCCTGACTGCTTTACGTTATATACAATTCTAAATTTGTTCATTTCGCTTCTTCTCTCTCACGTTGTTAGATAAACCGGGAAAGGAGCCGGATGCTTCTCCAGATTCGTCCGCATCTTCTCCCGTCCTGCGCAGCTCTGTTACAGCCACTGATCGGTCATCCCCTACCGTTTGTCATACTGTCAATGATGCAAACCCTCTCAGCCTCGAAACAAGGACACTTGAGGTTTCCAGCACTGAGTCCCTTTCAAATCCCCAATCAGCTGAATGCGCTTTGTCGAGTCGTATGAACCTCAGCGCATCCGCAGCTGACTATGGCGGTAGCCGTCTTGAGCGAGCCGTATCGGAGTGTATTGACAAGCAGCTAACCAGCCCTATGCGTGTTAACGTAACTCCGTCGACAGCAGTCAGCTCGTCTAAGCACGATAGAGGTAGGTGACTGAGCTGTTTTCTCTCATAATTACCATCGTCTTTCTTATGTACCAGAGCAATTGCTCACGCTTTCTAACTTTACCCATTATTTCGTTGTTTTACGCAACTCATGATTCACATGTCTTCATTGCTCCCATTCTCATTTCGGATCGCTTTCTTCTACAGCAGATACCCCAACCGCCAGCGAGCAGTACTGGACTCCAGACCCACCGGCCTCTCCGTCGAACGGGAACACGTTTATAAATCCCCCGAGGGACGACAATCACGCGGCCCAAGACGTGTCCACTGCATTGAGTTCCAAGTCACTCGACCCTGGCGACAATGCAACCCCCAGAGGCAGTGCTGCTTCCCACCCCGCATCTCATCCGGGCTCTCCAACGTCGGAACAGTCTTTGTATACTGTACGTGGCTCGCCGAGGCCACGGTTGGAAAGCCTAAATGATGTGGACTAAGCATCCTTTTTTCTATTCTCATATTTACCTGGATTAGGCGTGAAAATCTTTCCGTCGATAGCCTCAGCACCGATGTGATCGAACCCAACTCACTGCCCTTCTTGGTCCTCCGGCCCAGCATGATCTTTCCACCTTCCCTTTGTAACTCTACCACCACTCTATCATTTTTTGTATTCTCTAGTCGCTAGATATGTTTTCTTTTGACTCGTCACAAGTTCTTCTTACATTCTCGTTCATCCGGTGTTTAGTTAATGCAACAGGCCGTTCAATTCCATTCACTTTATCGCTCTCTGAGCGCAATGCACGCATCTTTGCGGTCTTCTCCTCGGCCCTATCTTGGAATATTCCTGTTGCACCTCCCCCCTCCCATTCAATATTTACCCGTTGGGAACTACATTGCTTTTACTTGTTCAGCGCTATTCTATCGTTACTGCTTTTTTCCCGTTCGCTGTGCCTATTTTTTCTTTTTTGTTCTTTCTCCTGTCGTTTCTCGCCTTTTCATGCCTGCAGTCAGCTGACGTATTGCATTCATTTCTTGGCCCATTAGCTCTTTTTAAATGACTTTCGTTTATAAACACAAAGATACTTACCTTCTTCTTTAGCAGGCAATCGTTTCTGCTACCATTAAAGAGTTGCTCTAGCATTTGTTTTTTGTTTCTTTGGAATAAAATTTTGTTAGGTTTTCCGGCTATTTAACCATGATTTCGTTCCGATGATTCACTTTATTCGGGCAATGGATGCACCGCCGTGGTCCACTTGAATCTATCCATTTAATCCCGCTATAAGCAAGCAAATCCCTGCAAGACGCCGCGGTCTCAGCCTCTGTTCTTACCATCGGCGGTTGTCTTTCATATTACGAGCCAGTGGTCGTTAATGGAACTCTGAGACTGACTAAAATAAATAAATACTTGTAGCTTGGGCTGGCACTTGAAGTGTTGGTTGGTTCTAAGCGCTGAGCAATTTGATTGCGGATATCTCGCTATCAATCGAAGTGACTTCTTCATGCATGCCAGCACTGACTGAGATTCAAGCAAATCCGGCGATGGATGCAGCCAGCCACAGGTTGTACCTTTTGTATGCATTTGAATCGTTCGCAATCCAACTCCATCCAGATTGGAAGTCCCTTGATACGCTGATACTTGGGTGATTTCTATTAGTTGGTGTGAAGCTATTGCGACTTGGGGTGGTCCGCTGCAGTCTCATTGGTGCAACCAATATTGTCGTGCACCGTTTTAGTCGGTCCACCTTACTGGCGCAAAACCATTCACAACGCTGTCTTTAACTCATCTATGCCATCAGCAGTGGGTCGTGAAAGAAACTTGGCGCCACTGTGATAGTTCCTTGTTCGAAACTACACACACCTTCGTCCCTGAAACGGTTATGCTTTTATCAAATTGAACAGTGTCATCCGAACACAACTGCCAAAAATGGCACAAGTTGGTGTCATTAAATCCTATGCATATTGGTTGCATCCTTTAAGCTCGCATGAGAATGTCCGTACTTTGTGTACTCATTCCCCAGTCCTACGGAACGTTCGCTTCCGGTGCGGTGTCAGTTCCGCATGTTGTGGACAAAGGTCACAAACAGCCGTTTCTGCGCGCATAGCGTTGGGTATTTTACCGATTGACAGCTACAGTCATGGCAATCTGGCTTATGTATTGGGCTAGATAGCGTTAAGCGCTCATTGGGTGTCGGTCTCTGATAATTGCTGAGGCCTGTGATTCGTCTGCAGACTCCGATCTCCTCCCTTGGGGCTTAAGTATTACAGTGCTCTGCTTAGAAACGTACCTTCCAATCCCCTTGCTTATGCACTCTCGATGTATCCGTCGAACAACACTGATTTATCAAATCGCACGCTTGTAACATCTGGCCTTTGATGTATTGAATCCGAACTCTTGATCAGTATAAAGGTGGTGTGGGCACTCGGTCAATCAAAAGCGTTCCTACGTTATTTTTCACACGCGCACAGCTAAACATCAAACGGCGCGTCCTTATTATGCGAGTGTTTTTCAAAATTAGTGGCGTGGCACCACAGTTTGAGCGCTTCGATATATATTCACTGTCACTAAACCCTACCCTCCTGTGGACGCCCAGGGACCCAGCAGCTCCTTCGATAAACCGATCTCCATTGCATTTATCATTTTGATTGCAGCTACCGAAACCATTACATCGGTGCCACCGTTTGAGTAGTTAGATTGGAGGGCGTATTCCGGATCAGATTAACGTGATAGCGACGCAACGGACAATGGGGCGAACGTCAAAGCAGAGCTCACCGGCTTTATCCATTTCTGAATACTCGAAGCGAGTGTGAGCTGATTCCCATTTGGTGTTTGCAGTCATCTACGGAAATTTGTCACACCTCGCTTAAGTTTTCCTAGGCTGTGGCCACGCCCGAAGCTGTGCATACAAAGGCAGCTGCCAATCACACTCGAACTCCCTTGCTGTTCGTGACCTTTGTCTCCAATACGTTGATCCGATACTCCATGTGTGAATGGCAAAATTGCCATATTACACATAAGGGTGCAAATTATTTGCGTGAGTTTAACATCCGCCGCCCTACCTTGTACGTCCGGGATCGTAATAGTTCAATCCAACTTTTGTTTCTGAATTTTTAATAACGTATATTAAAAACAAGGCGCAAAGATATTTGTGATTAAAAATTAACTGTATTTTGCTTTTTCAAAATATTGAAAATAATTTGTTTGACGGGCTCGCACTTGACAGTCGTTCACAGCTATATCGTTTGACATTCGTGACTGTCCGGCCACTTGATTGTGTTGGACGAACGCGCTACAGTCATTCAGACTTAGACCGCTCAGCATTCATGACTGTTTCATATGGTCGGCTGATTGATATATTGATCTTTGTACATTCCCGGTTGCTCAGTTATGTCAGTTTTTCAATACAGCTCGTCCCAGCGCCATGTGGTTTTGTTTTCCGTTCGGAGTGTGTTGTGTTACAGTCAGACGTTATAATAGAATGGCGACGGAATTCCAGTTTGGAAACCATGACGGTCCCTTTGGAATTTCTCCAAGAAATGCTGTTCAGACAGCAAGCACATTTCGGGGTGCCATCGCGACGCTTAATTGAAACATTGACAACACAAATGTCGTTACAGTCAGCATCTACGGACTCAACGGTTTCCATTGCAGACAAGCTGGCTCACAGTATGGTAGAATTTCATTACCAGCCGGACGATGACCTCACTTTCCAACCATGGTTTCGTCACTATGAAGATTTTGTGAAAAATTGATGGTCTTGAGCTAAGGGATGCAGCACAGGTACATCTTCTGAGGAAATTAGGTTCAAAAGAGTATGAAAAGTATTTTTATTATATTCTACCCAAGAACCCACGCGATATATTATTGGACGACGCCGTGAAATACTTGACCAAAATTTTCGACCCTAAAACGTCACTTTTCAATACACGTTTCCGATGTTTACAAATTGTTAAACATCAGGAGGATGGTTTTTGTGACTTATGCAGCTATTATTAACAGGAAATGTGAACGTTTGCAGCTTAGCACACACACAAGCGATCAGTTGTAAATGCTCATTTTTGTTTGTGGATTACGTTCTCCAAAAGATACGGAGATTGGAATACGTTAGCTATCTCGGTTGGCGTCTAATTCAAAATGTTTCACTACAATAGCTGGTACAGGAATGGAAATGTATGTTGACACTGAAGCACGACACAGGAATGATCCAACGGCACAACGAGTCTTGTGTGGTGGATGTTCATACTATTCCTACACGCCCCAGGCCGTCGCACAATTCGGTACTTCTCTCCGACTTCGCACGCCGCGGCTGTCCGCCTACTGCTTGTGGGCATTTTGGTCAGTGGCATTTCGCTCGACTTTGTGAATTCAAGCGATATGTTTGCAAGCGTTGTGGGAATATTGTACATAAGGAAACCAGATGTTTGCAGGGAGCCTCTGAAAGACCGTCATGAACGTTCGCCAAATCTCCAAATTTTCAAAGCTGCCTTTTAAATGTGGTATTTGCAATCACTAGCCCGAACTATCAGTCACTGCAGAAGTATGTTACGATTGTGATAAACGGTGTTTCTGTCCGGCTTCAACTGGACACGGTTTCCGATATTACAATAATCTCTGAGTCGACATGGAGCAAGCTCGGTAATCCCGCAAGCGTTCAACCTGCACACGACGCGTCCGGCTCTGATTTCCCCTTTCTTGAACAGTTCAATTGTGAGTTTGCACTTCGTGGTTTGAATGCTAATAATGTTTGTTACGTTACACGTTATGGACATTTGAACTTGTTAGGCATAGATTGGATAGACAAACTTAACTTATGGAGCGTACATTTGAACAGTATTTGTGATAACCCAGATAGTTTTTCACTGTGTCCCACTGATTTTCAGTGCTCGGTTGCACCCGTAACGTTTAAAAACAGTGCAGAAGCTTTATCACATTTTGCCTCTAAATACCCCCTATGCTTTTACAGAGGGTCTTCGAATGTGTTCTAAGGTAAAAGATGTGTTACATCCGCGTACCGGTGTACGTCCAGTATTTTGTCCCAAAAGACCAGTACCATACGCTGCTCTTGAGGTAGCGGATGCCGAAATTAGTCGACTGGAGTCAATGGACGTCATCAGTTCTGTGACCTACTCAGCATGGGTCGTTGCTATTGTAGTCATCAGAAAGGCTAATGGTAGTTTGCGAATTTGTGCTGATTTTTCCACCGGATTAAATAACGTATTTTGAAGCGCATCACTATCCCTTACCTGTCCCCGAGGATTTATTCACAAAGCTTAATGAAGGAAAAATCCTT